AGCCGAGTGTGAAGCAGCTGGGATGAGAATCAGATCCTCTAAATCTGCGACTGTGGTCTTGAGTTGGAAAAGGGTAGAATGCCTTTTCCAGGGATGAGGTTCTGTCCCAAGAGGAGGACTTAAAAGAACGAGATTGCAGATACAAGCAGCTGAAATGAGTTTTCTCTGCAGGGTGGCTGGGCTCTCCCTTAGAGATAGGGTGAGAAACTCGGTCATCCGGGAGGGGCTTAGAGTAGACCCGCTGCTACTCCACATCGAGAGGAGCCAGTTGAGGTGGCTCTCCATCAGGAAACCTCTGGGTCAACGTTCCACTGTAAACTTATCATTAGGGTTCGTGCCTTTAGTTGTTTGTGGATGTGTGTTCGTGTTTCGGCGAGCCTTTTAGCCCCAAAAGCATTTCATTGCGGATATGAGTGAATACTGTGTAGGTAGGTACCGTTTAGTAGTTTTGCCACACGAGACAAATTAGTTTGAGTCTGTAGCAGATGCACGACTCCTCAGCGAGGAGCTTTTAAAAGATGCGATCCAGTAAATAGGCCAGTGCTGCCGCTGCTCTGCAGATAAAAGGATTAGACTCCATGTTTTAATGCTGTTTGTTGCTGGAGGACCTCGGAGACTCGCTGTGTAGTTTCACATTAATGAGAACACCGTTTTTCTGTCAGATGCAATAACACGTACGATTAGAAATTCAGATGCTCAGAGGAGGCTTTGCCCTGAATTTTCATACTGAGCAAACATCCCGCTGACGAGCACCGTAGACCCTGAGCGTCGTCTGGAGAGCGTGTTGGAACCGTTGTGGCAGACGGGGTACATTTCCACTCCCGGCTGGTGGAGAGTTGCCTGTCGCCTACCAAGGGGCCGTTTTTAGCCTGTGGCGGCTCTGGCTGGCCTCGTTGCCACCTTGCAGCTCAGTGCCACGTGAGAGCAGGCGCTGGCTGGGGGCCTCGTCTCCCAGGCCGCTGCCTCGGATTGGGGCATGGTCTCCCGTGGGACCGGGTTTCGGGGCGGTGCTGACTTAAAACACACTAGTGGTCTCAAGGACCGCTGCTGAGGGGAAGTCCTGTGCATTTGAAGTGGGGACCTCAGAAAGCCTGTTTACTCAGGAGAGGGAGGAGGGAGCTAGCCCGTGGCACAAGAATGCCTGTGTCATGACGGGAGAGGCGGAATGTGCTCCACAATCCCAACTCTGTCGGAGCCGGGCCACAGCTGAGGTGGCAGCCATGTCTTTCTATTTATTTTAGCTCTCTCCTCACTCAATCACCAGCCCTGTCTGCGGCCATGAGCGTCCCGGCTAAAGCGAAAAACGGCCTGAGTTTTTATTTATGACCCAAGATTTCCACGAGGATGCCAGCTCAGGATCCTCCACCGCAGTAGATCAGACCTTAAACTGAGTCTAGTTTCCTCTCAGAGAACGTTCATTCTGACAGGAAGTTCCTTTCTTTGTTGCTCTGCCGTCGTGTTCGCACGTAGATTTTATTCCAGTTGTTCCCGTGATCTCGTGTGGGTTTGATGGAAACGTTTTCAGGACACCGAGCCAAGTTTCAGCTTCGGGTTACTCTGAGGGATTTAACAGACTAGCTAGCTGTGGGTCCATGTGAGTTGTGTTTACTGAGCCTGGTTTGTTTGTAAATGGGCTCCATGAACCCACATGAACCTGGTGTTTAGTTCAGTCTGTGCCTTCTGCTGCTCACGCTCTCATTTCTGAAACCAGAAGAAGAGGCGAGGCCTCACTCTGGGTTCAGATTCACGTAGAGGGTTTAAATGAACGTTTGAATATCTTAACAGGATTCAGAATGAATCCCCTAAGGGGATCATCTCACTGGCGACCTGCAAAACAGCATTTATCTGGGAAAAAAAAAACCCTGTAAAAGTTGAGGCCTTTTGCACCATGTTTGTAGTAAAGCTGTGTACGTGGACCTTCATCTGGTTACAGTTGGTAGGTTTGATGCTTGGCCCAAGGGCATCCCTGTTGAAGTTCATTTCAGTTCAGCTTTAATTATAAAACGCTGGTTCATAACACAGGTCATCCCACAGCTCTCTGGAGAGTCATCTGGTCCAGATTCAGGCTGAATGCAGTAAATAAGTGATGACAATAGTTGATGAATTTTAAAATGGTAATTAATCATATTGCACCTTAAAAAGGGAACACACTTCAGTTCAGCTGTAGCATGACTCAATTCAATTTAGCTAAGAGCCAGATTAACCTTACTTAACCCAGAAGTCTAAGTCTATTGCAGAATAACTAAAGGGATGAGCCAGGATAACCCTGCTTAACCCAGAAATCTAAGTCTATTGCAGCGTAACTAATGGGCCATTCCCATCTGTACCGGGTCGGCCCGGGCCGGGTAGCGTAGGTTGTTTACATATCTGGGTGGCCTGGTATTTTTCCGGGCCAACCAACGCTCATTCTCAGCCCTCTTCTCGAGGGGGTCTGCTTCAGGCCGACCAGGGCCAACACACCCACTGCTGACAGCAAATTCACACCTTCCATTAGAGCAAGCCTCTGATTGGTGGGTAGAATCAGCCCACATGGGCTTAAGACAAGGATGTGTGGAATCAACCGGGCCGACTGGGGCTACCCGGCCCGGGCCGACCCAGTACAGATGGGAATGGCCCTTAAAGGGATGAGCCTGGATAACCCTGCTTAACCCAGCAGTCTAAGCCTATAGCAGCATAACTAAAGGGATGAGCCTGGATAACCCTGCTTAACCCAGCAGTCTAAGTCTATGGCAGCATAACTAAAGGGATGAGCCTGGATAACCCTGCTTAACCCAGCAGTCTAAGTCTATAGCAGCATAACTAAAGGGATGAGCCTGGATAACCCTGCTTAACCCAGCAGTCTAAGCCTATAGCAGCATAACTAAAGGGATGAGCCTGGATAACCCTGCTTAACCCAGCAGTCTAAGCCTATAGCAGCATAACTAAAGGGATGAGCCTGGATAACCCTGCTTAACCCAGCAGTCTAAGCCTATAGCAGCATAACTAAAGGGATGAGCCTGGATAACCCTGCTTAACCCAGCAGTCTAAGCCTATAGCAGCATAACTAAAGGGATGAGCCTGGATAACCCTGCTTAACCCAGAAGTCTAGGCCTATAGCAGCGTAACTAAAGGGATGAGCCTGGATAACCCTGCTTAACCCAGAAGTCTAAGTCTGCAGTGAATCAGAATCATTTTTGATCAAATGTGTAGAAATAAATATTTTTCAGAATTGTTTTATTTAACAGTTCTCTTGTGACTGAAAACTTTTATGTTTCCCTGTTTTAAACCCAGCTTGTGGTGAGCTGGTGGCGGGGTGGTATCCTTCCATTCTCACTTTAATTGAGATTATACTAATCTAACCACAGTAAAATTCTCCCCTGTGGTTGAAACCAAAGAAAACAAGCAGTGAGCGTAATGACAGTGTTTCTGGGTCTGCTGCTCCATCAGAACAAAACCGTCTCACTCTGATGATTTCTGCCACCGTTTTACTCTGCAGGTTTTAAACTTTCATCTCAGTTCTGAAATGACCAATCAGACGGCACATACCCAAAGGACCGCTTAGATTTTTCTCATTATACCAGAAAGTCCCACGCGCTGAAGATTTTTCAGATATTTGTACTGGCTGAATCAGAAATGTTCCTACGGAGGGGACCAGATGGAGGATTTCTTATCAGCCAGGCTCCCTTATTGCTTCCATGGAGATACTGTGCTGTCAGAGTGGAACGCTGAGGCATATTAGAGGAGAGTTGAGCTGTGGCGGCCCGTTCCATCACAGGCGAGGTTGGTCTCATTTAGTTGTAGAAAGGAAGTGCGGGCGAACACTGTCAAGTCAAATCGTTTGCTTCATTTCTCATAGACTTGGAAGTGAGACCTGCTTTGAAGTAAACCACAGAGGATAATCTGTGAGCTGTAGAAAGGCGTCGTTCTCTAACTGGTTTGTGACTTCCTGTCAGCGTCGCACCAGCCTGTCGAGGGCAAAAGTCAGAATCACAGCAGCTGAACACGTTCAAGTTTTCAATTCAAGTTTATTTATGTAGTGCTAAATCACAACAAGCACCGTCTCAAGGACCTTCACATCATAAACATCCAGTACAGGTCAGTTCATTAAGCCAATCAGAAAAAGTTTCCTACATAAGGAACCCAGCAGGTTGCATCGAGTCACTGACTAGTGTCAATCCTCATGCTAAGCAAGCATGCAGCGACAGTGGAGAGGAAAACTCCCTTTTAACAGGAAGAAACCTCCAGAGGATCCTGGCTCAGTATAAGCAGCCATCCTCCACAACTCACTGGGGATGGAGAAGACAGCGCGCACACACGCACACACGCACGTACGTAAAAAATTATATTCGGCTGAGTCAAGATGAGCCAAGTAAGGGAAGGCAACAAAACGCCATCAGAGGAGCCGTCTGCCCCGGCAGCACTAGATCAACCACACTTAGTCAGGGCGCTCAGAGGAGGGGGAGCATAGACCCCCACCTCTACTTAAACACCACCTGTAGAGCGCCCAGGAAGCAACAGTCGACCACCGCCCCCGGGGCAGAGGGCCCCCCACAGAGAAAACACTGGACTATGAAAATAGAAGAGCTAATATAAATGACAAAAGTAAGAAAATAAATAATAAATAAATTTATATGGACAGTCAAATAATAATATAATGCAATTGTGCTAAAATATAATCATATAAAACGAGAAATAAAACTATAGTAAATAATTAGATAAAAGCTAACCTAAATAGGTGGGCCTTGAGCCTGGACTTAAAAACATGAACGTTCTCTGCGGCTCTGAGGTCCTCCGGCAGATCGTTCCAGAGGCGAGGCTGCCAGAGGAGCGCAGAGGCCGTGAGGGTTCATATGGTAAAAGCAGTTCTGAGAGATGAGAAGGCCCAAGACCATTAAGACACTTAAAAGTTGTAGCTGGAAGAAATTCAGACAGAAACCTGTGAATCTGTCGTTTTTACGTCGCGTCTGTTGTGTTGTGTTTTTGTTTACATTTATTTCTCCTTTGTTTTGAAATCTGTGCAGAACTGAACGTTCCCCAGAGTCTGGAGTCCGTGACCCGACAGGTGAACGAGACCGCGCAGAACCGCCGTCGCCGCCGAGATGCCGGAGAGGACGACTACAACATAGAAATCCTGTTGGGAGTCGATGACTCGGTGGTTAGATTTCACGGCAAAGAGCACGTGCAGAACTACCTCCTGACCCTGATGAACATCGTGAGTCACTTCCTGTGTTTTTGCTGCTCGTCTGGGCGCCGTGGGAACAGGTTACTGAGGGTGTTTCTCAGTGTCAAGGCGCCTGGCCTTGCGAGGCGATGTCTTGCTGCTGTTAGCAAGCCTGCTCTCCTCAGGAGAGCGGAAACATCTGCAGCCTGTTGGGTTTAAACCGGACAGCAAAGGCCGCTGCAGACACCTGTAATGTGTGCAAACTGGGTGTTCAACATGCTGGAAAGGAAACGGCGCTATGATTCAAACAAGCTACTTTCGCTGTCGGCTTTTCCCTTCCGGCATCAACAAAGCTAATCACCGGCCTCCATTAATCCCCAGTTCACCTCTAACAGTCAGTGAAGTCAGACAAAAACGCGGAACGACCAAGAGAGAAGGTCACGCTAATGAACAAAGACAAATTGCCAACAGACTGCAAAACCTCGAGTTTCCTGGTTCTCCTGCAGCGCCGGAGCTTCACGTCCCGCGGCTGGCTGGACCTGCTCTGGTGCTGCGTGCTGGAGCTACAGGTGTTGTGCAGAGAAACGTTGTCCTGCCTGCTCCGTCACGTGAACACGGCTCACAGCTGCTTACTGGGGAGTGAACAGCTTGAAATAAGAGCCACGCTGCTACTTTATAGTATATTCACAAGATAAACACGTTTTTCATCGGTGTACTTCCTAAAAGAATGAAAGTGAAACTTAAAGGACAATTTTGATGTGTTTACTTCTTATTTGAATGCTTTCTTGATTTTTTTCCCCCATTTTTTTTTTCATTTTTTAATGCTTTGCCAAAAAATAATTAGTTATTCTTCTGATTTTAATGCTTTTCTGAAAAGTATCGGATCAGGACTCGGTATCGGCAAACACTCAAAATCAAATGACTCGGAATCAGATCGGGGGCAAAAAGACGTCTCTAGTTTAATCCCGTTAAAATGAAGATGGTAAAGCAGAAGGGATCATTTCATCCTAACTTTGTCTAATAAATTATTTCCAGCATGACTCTAAACGGAATACTTTTATCTGTCGCTGCGTCCACTCCCTGACCTCCAGGGATCGTCTCTGCTCCACCAGAGCGTGGTCATGTGCAGACCTCTAGCAGCGCCCTGAACACCTGGTTCAATCGTTTGCTCAGGTGTGTCGGAGCACGGGCGTATCAGAAACATGTAGGCCGGAGTCCCAGAGGACCGGGACGAGACGGCGAGGCTGATTGGCTCCAGCAGCCTCGGGTTTCTGTAACAATCTGGGTTCGCTACTCGGAGATTCCGTCTGATATCGACTAAAAGTGAAATAATTGACAAATAATTGACCGTTTAAACACCAAAGGGAGTGCCATCAGATTCCTAACAGGGATCGTTTTCCTTCTTTCTGTCTGTGATGTATGAAGCGGCACCTCAGAGTAGGGTTGTCACGATACTAAAATTTCAAACTCGATTCGATACTTGAAAAAAACTCGATACTCGATTTCGATACTATTTACAAACACCAATTTTTTGAACACGTTTATTCAAAAAATAACATTCCTCAATTTATATTTCAAAAATTAAATGTTAAGAATTAAGTGTATATAGTGCTTAAACCTTTCAAGTATCAGCATTTTTAAAACGTGCGTACAAAAACTGGCGAAAGTTAACACTTTAAATCATGAATTGTCTCACTATATATACACTATCTGCAGAGTGATGTTTTGCTGCTTAAACTCTGTTTAAGGTGCATTTTTGTCATAAGCTGTAATGCCATATGTTTTGTTCTGTACTTTTGAACAACTCTGTTGGTCAGTAAAGGGAGAAAACGAATTTCTCCACAGTAGGACAAAGGTACATCTACCGGTAATCTTAATAAAAACAGACTGGCGCACGGCAGTGACGTCATTAAAAGCGTCGGTTAATTAGCCGCGGCTAGTCTGTTTACGTCTAGAAATCCCAGACTCGCTCCAAACGAACAGGGAATCATGTTAATGATTCCTAACAAAACCTTTCGACATTGAGATGTTTTGGTGCAGATAATGTCTTATTTCGAGGCTGCACCATGGGTGCCCGTCCGCACCCGTTATATGGATATACACTGACGGCGATTCGGCGATGGACCTACGGTAAATACCCCGGGGAATCCAAGTAGCACCAAAGTTGTCAGCGTGAGTAAACAAACGTACTGCATGCTAGAAATTAAGTCCGGGTTGCAATAAACGGGAGTTTTCCTTTAATCACATAAGCGTGAATAAACAACTACGTGTCGGACTTGGTATGCTAATTAAGTTGGGCTGTGAAGCGCCTCCCAAATTCGCTGTTTATGTTTTTGTTTATTTATTTGGCAGACAAAACTTGGATCGGAGACAACTCGCGTGGGAAATTGCAGTGTAGCCATGCGGCGTCTTCTTCTTCTGTTTGTCTGGGAGGCGGAGGCTGCTTTACGGCATCTGGCTGTCCTGCGTGTCGGTTTACTTGAAGAAGGCTGTGTATAATAGTCCATAATATCGATACCACAGGGATAGAATATCTAATTTAGATACCACTTTTAGCATCGATTTATATCTGGGTATCGATTTTTTTGACAACACTACCTCAGAGTCATTTCATCACACTTTTCCTGCTGGTTTGGGGATCGATTGAGACTGCTGGTCTCTCTGGGTTATTAGCTCATCAAGCTGTCAGATACGCCGCGGAAAAGCTCCTCTGTTGCTGTTAGAAGTCGGCTGCGTGCGCCACATTCCCTCAAATGCACGGTGAAGCGTTCCTTTAACGAGGCATTCCCGTTTGGATGGAAGATCAGGCCCAACTCTTGTGCTTCTGCAGAGAGGAGTCTCTCAGTAAGCCGCTGCTGTTACTCGGCAACGAGGCAGCAGGTGATGAAAGCCTCTTGTGTCCACTGGGTTGGGCTGGAGATGCCGACCACCACATCCCAACGCCGTAATGGTTCCGTAGCGTTGATGCTACAATGTTGGGAACAGACATGAGAGCAGGAACGTTAGACGGCTTCAGCAGAAGCAAATGTGTTAGCAGCAGGAGGTGTTTTTTAACCGCTGGTGTCCCGGGCATCAGCTGGAGACGGGTAACTGAGCTGGGAGCTGATGGGATCCTGGAGAAATAGATGCTGGTCTCCAGCAGAGGTCTCTGCCGAGGCAGCAAACCCGTGATTGACCGTATCCGTTCATCTGGATCTCTCTCTCCTCCTCGCTGCTCGGTTCCTTCACCCTCTCTGCTTCTTCTCTCCCTTCTGTCCTTCTAACGTATATTTATTTATATCACTTCCACCGCGTTTCCTCTCCTTCCTGATTTCTCCTTCGGTTCACCTACGTGAATTGAATTGTTGTCTCTCTCGTCTCCTCCTCCCCTCGTTGTCCTTCTCTGCTCTTCTTGTTTGTTCTCTTTGATTTTCTGGCTAATTAAGAGCGAGCCTCTTCCTTCTTTGCCGTCCTGCTGGGAGAATGGTGACTGATTGCAGCGTTTAATGAGCGTTTACGTGTGCAGCCGCTGGCCTGCTTATGAAGGACGGCGTCTCTGCTGCTTAAACTCTTGACGGAAGGTCTGAGAACGTATTTATCGGAGCTCGGATGTAACGTTTGCTCAGAGTTTCTCTAACTGAATGAGATGTGAGGGTTTTATTTTCTGCAGAAACGATCCTCCGGCTTTGATTTAATTCCTCTGCTGTTGGACTTGGAGCTGCTTGTCCATCTGTTTAAGCACGCATGGCTGCTTAGCACATTCAGCTCTTCTGTTTAATTAAATCCTCCTTTTATTTATTTTGGTCTCATAATCAGCAAAAACAAAAGAATCCACAGAGTTGCAGAATATCTGTGTGGATGTTTTGATGCTGGTTTTTATGACTTTTGTAGTTTTTTCTCATCTTTGCATTGCAGGATTCTTGCATGGAACATTTCTGACCATCTTTTTTTTATCTTTGCTGATGGAGCTCGCTGTGCAGATAAAAAGTGACGTTTCGGGCGGCTGTCCCGGCGATCGATAAGAACCTGAGGTCTGTCACGACGGTGTCGAATGTTATTACGCGTCACCTCAGTCTCCACGAGACTCTGTCTAAGAAAGGTTGTGTCCAGCCCCATTGGTTATCTGTCCGGATGACACCTCTGAGCAGGAACAGATTCTAGTTTCAGGTGGTTTTACTGTTTTGATGAAAACCAGAGATTAATGCAAGAAGAAGAAATAAGCCAATCAGGAGCAGATTGCGGGGGTTTCTTCACAATTTTACGTTATTCTCATAAATGCATCATTTCATATTTACAGTGAATGTGGGCAAAGTGTGACTCATGCATGTAAATTAGCATCTGGCCTTTCTTTGAGCATGAATGCTATATGCTAATGAGCATGGGCCCTCTGAACATCACCGCTGTTCTCCACTCGGAGCCGGAGGCTGTTTGACTGAGGAGAGGAGCCGCTGTTACACAGGGAGCGTCACACCTCTGAAGCTACAGATCATTTCTCTGGTCTTTAAGATGTGAAGGAGTTGTGTACTCCATTGTTGCTCAGACAGGGTATCCGCGGGTCCTTGAAAAGTCTTAAATTAGCTTTTACAAATTTAAGGCCTTAAAATCCTTAAAAATGACAAATAATCCTTAAATAAAGTTTCCAACGGTCTTAAATGACCAAAGACCCAATAAACAAGATTCTTTTATTCAGAATCAGAATCAGAATAGGTTTATTGCCATTGTCAGTGAACAAACAATTGACAAACTAGGAACTTGCTTCGGTACTAATGTGCTACATATAACATGAATAATAAGATTAACTTTAACTTTAATTGAATTCTATTTTTAAAGTCCCATCAGTTGCCACACACACTGATGTGTGTGCGAAATTTGTTCTCCACATTTGACCCATCCCCTGGGGGAGCGGTGAGCTGCAGACACAGCCGCGCTCGGGAACCATTTGGTGGTTTAACCCCCCAATCCAACCCCTTAATGCTGAGTGTCAAGCAGGGAGGCGTTGGGTCCCATTTTTTCAAAGTCTTTGGTATGACCCGACCAGGAATCGAACCCTGATCTCCCAGTCTCAGGGCGGACACTCTACCACTAGGCCACTGAGCTGGTCATAGAATAAATATAATAAATAGAATAAAATATAATAAAAAAAAACTAGAATAAAACTTTCAGCTATGAAAAATGGCAGGTAATGGTAACATGGCCGATAACGTGATGTTGTGTCGAGTACAGAAGACCAGCATGGTTGTGTGTTTATAAGCTGTTCACAAGTCTAACGGCAGATGGAAAGAAGCTGTTCTTATGGCGGGAGGTTCTGGTCCGGATGGACCGTAACCTCCTGCCTGAGGGAAGCGGCTCAAAGAGTCTGTGACCCGGGTGAGAAGGGTCAGCTGCTATCTGACCTGCACGCCTCCGAGTTTTGGAGACTTACACGTCCTGGAGAGATGGAAGGCTGCAGCCAATCTCCTTCTCAGCAGAGCGCACAATGCGCTGCAGTCTATGTTTGTCCCTCACCGTGGCTCCAGCGTACCACACAGCGATGGAGGAGGTGAGGATGGACTCAATGATGGCCGTGTAAAACTGCACCATCATCTGGGCCGGCAGCTTGGCCTTTTTCAACTGCCGCAGAAAGTACATCCTCTGCTGGGCCTTTTTGATCAGGGAGCTGATGGATGGCTCCCACCTAAGGTCCTGTGTGACCTATTCCTATAAAGTTTTCATGAATTTCTAGATAGTGTTCAGCATTTTTTGTGTATGATGTTGGCGTAAGCGAAACCGTACACATTCAGTTGGTTGTGGAAGGGGGCTACTTTTAGATGCGCACATTAGCTGGTTAAGCTAGTGGGAGCTTGCGCCATGGGGAAGTGCAAGTTTAATGGTAACTGGATGGCTAATCCCACGTTCGCGACGTGGTTAGCAGCGGTTCCAGGCAAAAGCTGGAAATTATATCTTAAATTTGGTCAAAGTGGCCTTAAAAAAAGGTCTTAAAGTCTTAAATTTGGTCTCCTTAAACCTGCAGAAACCCTGTCGGAGTAAAGCCGCTCCTCATCACCAGAGCTGAGGTGGTTTCAGCACCTCTCCACGGTGTGTCCTGATCACCTCCCTCCTCTAGCCGGATCCACGATCCTCTGCAGAGATCATTGATCCGTTCTGACCTTGGAGGAGGAGCTGGAGAGTGTTTCTGGGGAGTGGTTTGGGCTTCTCTGCTGGACCTGATAGCTCCACGACCCGATGGACAGTTTACAACAAAGACATGAAGCCCATCTCCTAGTTTAAGGCCGTTTCTAGATTTTTGTACCAGAAAAACCTCACATGGTCCTAACTGCCTGATAAACTTGTTGAGTTTGTTCTGATAGAATAAATTAGTTTGTGGATCAGATGCTGAGACTGAGCAGGCAGCAGCCAGTAAGTCATGCCAAAACCTGAGTCTCTACTTCATCACATCCAAAAACAAATCAATCCGTTTGGGTCTTCCTGCTTTGGTCACGTTTTATCTGTCATCGTTTCCCGCGAGGAGCTTTTCCACGCGTGAAGGTGTTGTTCCAGACTCCGTCTCAGGATGCGTATTAAACAGCTGGTGTGTTGTTTCAAATACGATTGTGTGCACAGGCTGAGCTGACGGCGTATTTCACCCAAAACAACCCTCACCTCAGAGAATGAAGACGTGGCAACCGGAGAGGTCCTTTTAGTGCGGATCCGACAGCATCCCGGTCCGTTGGTGCAGACGGACGTTATGAATCTGCTGCAGCTCGTTGGTCTGATTTAAGGTGTTTCCACCAGAATTTGGAGCCATTCCTTCAGTTCAGGCAGAAGACGATTAGTCACGTCCCATTCCTGCTGGCTCGGAGTCAGCAGCTCTTTTTGTTAGACTGGGATGAGGCCAAGCCTCAGCCGGACTTGTTCTGTCACACGGAACCGTCTCCTGATGGACCCGTCTGTGTGCACGGAGGCGTGGTCGGGTTAACAAAGAGAAGCCTCTCTTACACACACACACACACACACACACACACACACACACACACACACACACACACACACACGCTCATCGCTGGAGCAGTTTGGTTATTTAAAGTGTGAATCGAGGTGACAGGATTAAATTTAAGCACCGCTGTCGGCCCTTTAGCTGCTCGGTCTGTTCCGTTTATCACGGCTAAAAAACCTATGGTGCAAAAGTCCGTCTGTGTCAGTGATCCAGCTCAGACTGCGAGACCCTCTAAAGGCATAGGAACCCTGTGCAGCTGTTCTGGAGTCATCAGCTGTGAGTCTGAATCATCACTATTATAACAAATATGTCCGACTTCACGTGGGAGGAGTCTGCCTCGTAGATTAGCTTCACCTTTTAGGTTAAATTAGTGACATCGGGGAACTTTTGCACCACATTCTAGTTTTT